AGAAGGCCTCGAGTCCCGATCCAACCAACCGAGTCAGTTTGATTTTTAAAACCATGCTCTCGAGCACACAAATTCTCCATAAATAGATAACTTAATACATATATACATGTATATGATTGGCACATATCTATGTGTTGTACGGTATCATAACCCTAAATCCTATTCCTTAATGCTGTCCACGTTCAATGGGAAGATTAATTGAATCATTAACATTAAAGTTAATTTGTAATTAATCCATCCACTATCTAACCCGCATTTATACCTTAACTTTTCATGTTACTGTTATTTTTAATTTGATTAACATTAAAATATAATTATAAATTGTTTGAAGCGTCGGGGTATCCAACGGTCCCAGGCACTGACTCCCAGCCTGTTAGGGTAGGGTCAAAGTGAGGATACCTCGTAATAATAAAATAAAGAACAGAATAAGAATAGGGGTTTTATCCACGCGACTGAAATGAGCGTAAAGGCATTGAACAATGAACATTAAAGCTATTGTGGCGGCTCACACTGATATTTTCCGTTTTTTTTCTTTTTCCGTTATGAGGTCATAACCCCTGTTTAACTGTTACTTTAAAAATCCCACTACGCAAATGGCCCATCAATGATCAATTTACACCCGCACCAACGCTCTATATAAACCAAACTCCCACTTCATAGATTAACCCAAAAAAGGAAATAAACATCTCTCTACGCTAAGAACTTACTCAAAATACTTCTTATTTTCTCTTATTTTCTTTTTTTTTCAATGGAAACAAAGGTGGATTGTTTTTGGGTTTTGGCTCTTGCTTCCAAATGCAAAACTTTCTCATCTTCCCAAAACACCTTTTATTTTTTTATCTTTCTTTGCATGGCTTGGCTAGCCATGGCTTTTTGCTACTGGTCTTACTCTGGAGGCCCCGCCTGGGGTAAATACTGGCTCAAAAGAGGAATCAAAGCTAGGACAATACCCGGACCTCGAGGCTTCCCGATACTTGGAAGCATCACCCTCTTGATCAACCTGGCTCACCACAAGCTGTATGCAGCAGCTGAATATTTCAGAGCAAAACGGCTCATGGCTTTTAGCGTCGGTGACACTCGTGTTATTATTACGTGCAATCCTGACGTGGCTAAAGAGATCCTAAACAGCTCTGCTTTTGCTGACCGTCCAATTAAAGAGACTGCATATAGTTTAATGTTCAACCGAGCAATAGGTTTTGCTCCTTACGGAGTTTACTGGCGAACGTTAAGAAGGATCGCTGCGACTCATCTGTTTTGTCCCAAACAGATTAGTTCTGCTGAGTCACAGAGGTTTGATATCGCCTCCCAAATGGTGTCGGTCATTGCATGCTGTGGCGGAAAGTTTCGCGTACGTGATATACTGAAGTGGGCTTCACTTAATAACATGATGTGTTCAGTGTTTGGTCGTAAATATCATCTACGTTGTTCGAATAATAGTGAAGCTGATGAACTAAGCCGGCTAGTTGAAGAAGGTTACGAGCTGTTAGGCAAGCTCAATTGGTCTGATCACCTTCCATGGCTTGCAGCTTTTGACCTCCAAAAAATCCGGTACAGATGCTCGAAACTTGTCCCGAAAGTGAACCGGTTTGTGAGCCGGATTGTTCAAGAACACAAGAACCAAACCGACCAAAAGAGCAATGATTTTGTGGATGTTTTGCTCTCTCTTCATGGACCCGATAGATTGTCAGACGATGATATGGTTGCGGTTCTTTGGGTAAGCTACAAACAAACTTGCCATGACAACATTTTATAATTCATTAGTGATTGTCTATATTTTGCTTCCTTTTGCATGGTGTTTGGTTGCTGGGAAATGACCGCAAATTAGTGAATAAATAATGGAATTTTATAATGGTAGTTTGGCTTGAACTGGCTGTTCAGATTCCTGGTTTCTTGGTAACCAAA